GAGAAAGACATTTCACCATGCTGAATGTATATTTTGATACCAGTAACTGGCTCCACTATATACCATTTTTGAGCCCTTTGAAATGTATTTTATTCATCATGTGTTGATTTATTTTTATATTTGTCAAGCAGTGCCTGCAGTTCAGTTGATTCACTAGAGAATTGTTTTTGGCTGACTTCTGAATGACATCTTGGTTCTGCCGAGGAATAGAGAATTTTTTGTTTTTTTATACAATCTGATGCAATGGGTGTTTTTTTTTTTCTTTCAGAATGACATGTAGAACAAGATGCGTTTGATGAAATGTCATGATTTTTTACAATAGATTTGTCTATTTTTCCCGCTTGAACCCGAAAATCATTCACAGCATCTTCAAGGATTGTCACAAAGTTGACAATTGTTTCTGTATTTGCAGGTTCTAGTTCTGCTAAATGCTGTAATGTTGGTGATTTGATTCCTATTTCAGACCCGATAACATGCCTTTTAAAACTGCTAACAGGTTTTTCAGGTGCAAAGGGTTATTTTATCTCGTAATTGGTTGCATCTAAAATATTACACAGCAACCAGGCTGCCAGGCCACTATACTACTACTACTCTTATCGTGTTAATGTCTGGATGTTGTAAACCAGCCAGGTGGACAGTGGGAAAAATGCCATCTAATAAAAGCAGTTTGGCAGCATTTTGATCCAGAAAATAAGGTTGGATTCCTGCTTAACCAACTTGGGCATTAGTTATGGGAAGATCCCGACAATGGGGCACGGTGGATGTTAATCTAATCATCCTGCTGTAAACATCATTATGATCAGTATTATTCCTACTGCTGCTTACAGTTTGCTGCATTGCAGATGATTAGGAAATGTTTCAGCAGCAGATGGAATATTACACTTCAGTCAGACACTCATGTCAAGGACCAATTAGAGCACTTGGTTACATTGTTAGATTTGGAGAAACAAAAGGCTCTACTTTTTGAAGGACCTCTCACAGAACAATTCCAAAAACTTTATGAAAGAGGCTGCGGCTGCTGGAACTGCAGCAGTAAACAGTGTTGGAATAACAGCAAGACTCAGGGTCTAATGGCCACACAGTGAACCTGCACAAATATGGCCTGGTGTTACTTGTCAGCTGATACCTGCACAGCTGTGATTGTGAAGCATGAGTGGAAAAAAGTTGAGCCAATTTACCTGCTAACAAGCAGGACTTGGGTATTCTGCTTGAATATATGCTACACTCCATTCCAGAGGGGGGGAACAAGGCTTTCTATGAGTCACTGCCGCTACACTGTGACTCTTAGTGAATTCCTCCGCTGTACCTCTTTTGTAACGTGGCTGCACCAATTAGGAAGATCAAATCCCTTTTTCTACTTGGCGAACTTTAAAAGGGCAAGCTGTGGTTGTGCCCTTTCCCTGCCTTGTTTCTTACACCCCTTGCTTAATGGAAGAGGGACAAAAAAAAAAAAAAAGCAGGAACAGGAAAAAGCCCTTACTCAGTGCAATAACCCCAGTTTAACATGTAGGAAGTGAACTCGCAGCATCTAAGAAGTGGAGCAACCGTGTATTCAAATTCACTTAAGTGTGCCTTAAAATAGCCCGAGCGACACAACAAACACCTCGACCCAGGGTCACGATGAATGCTGCAAGCTTGCTGAGGCTCTAAAGCAGGGGTGGGCGATCCTGGACCTCGAGGGCCACAATCCTGCATGTTTTAGATGTGTCCCTCTTCCAACACGAGTGATTCAAATGATCAGGATCGTTATCAGGCTTCTGCAGAGCTTGATGATGAGCTGATCATTTGAATCAGGTGTGTTCATCTAAAACATGCAGGATTGTGGCCCTCGAGGACCAGGATTGCCCACCCCTGCTCTAAAGGGAGGGCAAAAGACAGATATCAGCCACAGCGCTGGCACAGAGACACCCCACCACCACCACCACCACCACTCTACCCAATGACATTTTCCCCACAGGGCCAGAACCACACCAAATCACCCACACATTAATGCCGCTATTAGTCCCGTGATTAGGATGAGGGATGGTTGGATGCCTAATGAGCGAGTCAGTGTGCAGAATGGTGTGCTCTCTTGTGGCCTAATGAGCAGCGTTGGACCCCAGCTTTGATTGACAAGAGGATGAGATGGCGCGAGGGGTTTCGGGAGCGTCGACAGTGGAGGGTATTTGCAGGGGGTTGATGTCCCATTCATGCACCTAAACACCTGCACGCACACACACACACACACACACATATCCTCAGGATCGCTGCTCAGTGTGTGAGCAATGATCCCAAGGGAAGCTAATGACATAATTAGGATCAGTATTTAAATGAAAGCATTGCAGGTGGTGGTACCAAGGTAAGAGTGATGCACAGGGTGGACCTCTGGGTTGGTATAAATACGCTTCTGCTTATGATTTATTAAAGCATTAATGTGCGCACTGGAAGTCCAATCTGCACTGATTAAACTCTAATGGAGACCGATGGAAGAAGTGGAGAAGAAGGAATGTGGAACTTTTGGGATAATATGCGAGCGTGAGGCAGAGATGGTGAGATCGAGGAGGATGACGGATGCGGCGAGCGACTGAAGGATGTGTGCGGCGGCGTCGCGGCGAACAAGCGCGATAGTCCGTGTGTGTGTGTGTGCGTCTTGTGTAGCTATGAACTACAGTCCTTTAATAAAAGTCGGTGAGTTGGAAAATTGCATATAAATCTGTCTGAGTCCCAAGCTGACTGGCTGGGGAAAACCAAAACACAGAGACACAGTGGAGGCAGCATACTAAGTGCGGATGGGCTCGTCCCTGACCTACATTCCGCCGCTCCGGAGGAATTCAATCCACCTGCATGATCACCAATTATAGCAAGTGCCATTACAGGGGAGCGGAAGTCCACTAAAAGATAAGGTAAAATTATACAGCTAATATCTTCTGCTACCAAGCCCGATTAATCATGTGGAGCAAGATATCACTTCCTGGTCATTGTGATACGTTTTTAAATATCAGCTTTTAGAGAAGCCTTTTGTATCTAAAACCTGTAAGTGTATGAGGACACGGATTTGAGGTGTTCAAAGATCCACGTCTCAATTAGTAACTAATGCCGTGTTATTTGAGCCCAAACATCACAGAGGTTTATGATGTCTGTGACCAAAGTGGAGATGAAAGAAAGCAGATGTGTCGTTTTTGTGCTGCCACCTGTTGTTATGTTGATTGGCCAGATCGCAAGAACGGTTTAGAAAGTTTGAAAACAAGCTCAGCTGGAAGCTCATTTATTCATATGTTAATCATTTATTCATAACCAATTACTTACATACTTTTGGGTGAAAGTTGACCACCGCTTTCAGTGATGTGAAATGTGTTTGTGTCCCATCAGCAAGGTCAAAAATAGAGAACAATGAGGAAGAGCTGGATTCCAATAGACTGCGAGTGTCTTATATCGTCAAGCAGAATTTTATAAGTTACGCTCGTCAAACCAGAGTTTTGTGTTTATTGTCACACTATGAATAAGTACTCGTCTTTGAGGGAGATACTGAGCGAATTCTGCTCTTCTCCCTTTTGCAACAGATTAATGGCACCTCTTAAAATGCGAACTAAACTTTTCAAGTGCGACAGCTGATGCACAGATGTACAGTCGGCTTTTAAACATAAGGTCCGCATATGAAATCTGCTTAAAAGAATAATGTGACATTTTGGAAATGACACTTATTGGTTTCATTACCACGTATATTAAAATGTCTTTAAAGTGATTTAGTGTAACTGGTGTCGATCTGCTTAAAGAGTCTACATCACACATTTTTGGTTTGTATCAGCTTGAAATACCAGTTATGGCTCTCTCTTCTATCATTTAGATAGAGATCAGGTCTTGTTGATCTGATATGACTGCCCAGGGGCGTTACCGAGATAGCTGTAGAATGGTGAGATTTGTCTTTACGGACTTTGAATATACATACAGAAACTGTAAAAAAAAAGCTCACACTGGCTCCTGTCCATGCGTCTGAGTCAAAATCTGTCAAATAGATTCGAAACACCGCTGAGCTAATGGCAATTGTCCATTTTGTCCATGTGTTTCTAATGAAGACAAAGCAGTGTTGAAATAACAAAGATGCGAAACAATCAGCGTTCTGACATCTTTTCTTTGCTTTTTACGTGCAAGTTTGCTGTTTGGGACCTGAGATGCACCTACAGTAAGTGTCTGAAGATGTCCTTCACTCTCTGTTACCTAAACAAAGGGATTATTTTTCGTTCTCTACTTCCTATGTTTTAGTTTCTCCTCGGCATCCTCTCGCTGGTCAGTCAAAATTCAGCTTGGAGCTGCCGACCAGCTCACACTGTGTATCGCAGTATCATGTACAGGCTCACGATGCATAGGAGCACCTGGTTTTTGAAATCATCATGGGCAGTGCAACCACCTCACACGATCCCATGGGGAAGCAGATGTGAACACAATGGAAACTGTGTTGTAAGAACTTGCTGTAACGCTAGTGATAATTTGTGGTGAGAATAAACGAGTCTGAAAATGTTTTGGAAGGTACTGTTAATATGATTATTCTTCAGCAAGGGGTGAAGGTGAGACTTAAATGATCAGTTTTAATACCGGCAGCTAACATTAGCATCAAGGACTATTTAGCTTTGGTGGTGCAATAACCATAACCATCCAGCTTTTAACTCCTAAATATTAAACATGGTTGATTCTCACTAAGCTGCAAGCAGTTTGGGAGGTTTTAGAGTGGATCTCAGAGGAGGAGCAAACATTTGAATCTGTTGTGCGGAGTTCAACCATGTGAACCCCACACACTACAAGATTATCCATGTTTATCACTCCAAATTTGCACTGCCAACGTCTATTTTCTAATAATGACTCATAATGGCATAAAGCAGTTGCCGGCCTAAAAGTTGTGCAGAACACAACGTCCTTATCTGGAGCTGCCTGGCTGTAGTTTCACACCAAAAGAGGTGATCTTGAGAAGAAGAAGAAGCATCGCAGGGCCAGAATCTGGTTAGAGGTGTACTGTAAGAGGCACTCACTTGGCACTCGGTTGATGGCTCTCAGTGGTCTCAACACGCGAACCGTCCTCACCGCTGAAAAACTGACGTTCTGCAGGTTGAGTGAGTACTCCAGCATCCTGGAACATATGGAGAGGAAGAAAGAAAAGCATGTAAATACAGCAATAACAAAGCAAAATGCCTTCAACGGCTCACACAGCAGAACCAGCTCGATCATCTGGGAATAAAAAACACAGAAAATGTGAAGGCAATATTATGTAGCCAATTATATACTGCATGTATTACATGCTTTCCCACTCTCACTGGGCTGGTGGTAATTAATCTTCTCATGTTCTGAAACGCATTTACATTCTTGCCTGTAGAGACGACTGCAATGCATGTGTTCTGGCAAACGGTACGCTTTCATTCCAACGCTCGGTGGACTGCAGCTAAAAGACCAGGAAGTTCGAAAAACACCACACGCATACGCTGCACTGCGCCTGTTTGTGCTTGTACATGGAGCGCAGCGTACACGCAATGTTTGTGCGTCTGACAAACACAAAGCATATATTCACATGCACCCTCGCACAATCAACCTTCAAAGGAGCGAGTGGCATATGTGCATCCCCTCCGAGACGTCAAGAGCGGGTGAATCACTCGTCATTGAGCGGGAGGATGTGGCATCCACGGTACATAAAAGAGCAGCATCGGATCGGTCTGCCTCGTAACCTTGAGACGGCTCACGCTCTGAACAGCCTCTCAGCAGCTCTTTAGAGGCCCTTTCAGGCTGTGATGGGAGGTTAGAAGGACAGCGCTTAGAGGAGAGAGAGCGAGACTGTGGAATGCCTGAAAAAACGTTTTTCTTGTTTCTTGATCAGTGTTTATCGCCGTCTCTTCTCGCGCTCGCCGTCTCTGCGCCGAGCAGATGCGGCGCACATGTGCAGCTCCAAGGAGCGTGCAGATGAAGGAATTCCCTCCTCGAACCGACTCCAACTCCGTCTGTCTGTCTGACAAATTCGCAACACATGTCGTACGGTGTGTTTGTCTGTGAAGGGCGTACATGTGCGCCACCTTAAGTGCAAGAAACCCCCTTAATGGAACTATGAGTCTTCCCCTTTAACACATTATGGTGTCCCAGTATGAGCCTTTCTGGCTTGTTACACCAAAGCGGCACAAAATCGTGAATAGACAGACACACACACAGGAGTGTGTACTTGCACACCCAGAGCTGACAGATGGCCTGCAGGCCGGAGAGAGAAGGTAAATGGGTAAACAGTTAACAGAACTGCACCGAGATGTCCTCCCACCACCAGCAGAGAGACGGAAGGTTAACAGTATCTTCCACTTGCTGGAAACAGACACTTCCCCTCAGCAGCTGTGTAATGTTCCGTAATGGCCACCGTAGAGATTCAGGTCAAAAGGAATCAACTGGCACTTCTATTAAAGAGTAACTTAGAAAAAACACTCATTGGGAGCTCAGAAATGACACAAGGATACCTCGCTGAAAACTATTAAATGAATACTATGAGTGACATCATGTATAGCAGGAAATAAAAAAAAAGAAAGAAACAATACCATTAAAAGTGCACTCCACTAATGTTACACGTCAAAGTCAATTTAGAAGTCACGCAGAGTATTAGCCAGCCTGTGAAAATGGTGGTGTGATGTCATCCATGGCTCTGGAGGAGCTTTGTTGAGTATGGGAAACTTACTCACAAGTAATCTCACTTTGTGCCCCGGGGCAGGAATGGCCTAAGGAAAAGATATTATTGAGTTGCACTCTGGGAAGTGTAGGATCCAGGTTTTAGGAGCTCCAGAGACTTTTCAGCTTCTACTGCATTGATTTGAACAATTCTTTTTTTTAAGTCTGTCTTTTCTTGATCTTACAACTTAACAGAAGTGCAGCACTAAGTCTCTGGAGTGCCCCTTTAAGTTCAGTTAAAGTTACAATCTCTGTTCTGCAGACACATCGACTGATATGGCGGTTATCTGACACTGGCAAAGAGATTAAATTAAACTTGTGCTATGATTTGTTATAATAAACAATGGCTTACAGCTGCTAAATCTTAGCGATGAAATGGGTAGCTGCTTATCTGATAATAAAATAATCAGAAAAGTAATTGTTTTCACAAGCGATGAATCCTTTAGGATCATTTATACAAATAAAACATCAAACTATTCCAGTTCCAGATATTGTGTTTGCATTTCAATTTGCTTTAAAACTTTGTAAAGTCAAGCTTCAGTTTAATATTCAGATTTAAAATGTGATAAACCAGCACCGCATTAGAGATGCTCCACACAACGTATTTTTCTAAACTGCGGTTTTTGCGATTTGCTAACTGCATTGTTTAAAATTGCGATTTGGGTTTTAAACCAGTCCAGCTGTACTGCACTGCTAATCAGACCTCCAAATTTTTCAGCACCAGAAATAGCCTGTTGTTGTGCTCGTTGGTGTCTGATTCCCTGTTTGGAAAAATGACTAATTCAATCAGATATGTTAACGTGGGATTAAAAGCAGGGATGTCATCTCAGTGTGCCAGAGCCAGAAAAATGGCCCCAAAATGGCAACAAGTATGCAGAGCAGCTGGAAAGCAGCTGTAGACTTCATTTCTTTTTTTCTTTTTTGTTACTTCTTCTTCCTCATATGTCGTCTGTGTTTTTATCACATCGATGGTGCAGGGCATTTTTTTGTAGCATCTGGCTAAAATGTACAATAGTTCTGTATTTCACAATGCCAGTTTCTTAACACTAACCGCATCTTTGAGGTATGGTAAGATAAATATAGTCGTTTTTAGTATATAAAATACCACCAGGGAAGGAACTACTTCACCTACAAGAAGAACAAGGAGTCCTGCTACAGGTTGTCTGCCCACACAAAGTGGCAACATCCGGGACTGAAATATGAAGTGGTAGTGCCAAAATCTCTTCAAATGTCCACTTGAGACTGGCTTCAAAAGTGAGTCAATCCTCATAGACTCCATGTTAAAATGTCCAACTTCACAGCAGAAATAAACATGTTCACAGCCTGTTGCAAAGAACATTTTGGCCTGTATAGCTAATTTCTCCAATCATGAAACCCAAACATAGGTGACTTTTTTACATAACTCACCCATTTAGCTTATATTAAGGCTTAAACTTATGCACAATAAAGGGCGTGGCCACCTATAGTGACAGGTGGGTGCCATCACAGAACAGTCACTGGCCTCAGCTCCACTCCCGTTCCACCTCTTTGATCATTTCGTGGATTAGCTGGGAGTTAAACAGAGTCAGGCGGCCAAAGCCATCACACTTAAGCTTCCAAACCAACATTCAGAAAAGCCGAGGGTGACATCGTCGAAGGGTTCATCCATCTTTGGATGCAGTCAGTGGCCCACACAGAGCCCCTGATCTCAACTTGAAGAGACAGAGAGCCAAAATCTAAGGCAGTTTCTCCAATACTCAGAGAACACTGCCAAGTGAGCAAATGCCCGCTGTTTTAAAGTCGAAGGGTTGTTAAACCAAATGATGCTTTGATTCTCTTCCCCTGCCACCTTCTTTAGGACACTAATTGATAAATAACAAAAATGTTCATAGTATTGCTTTTGAAAGCATCTTCATTTTACTTCCAGTGTCTACAGTGTTGGCACAGTGCTGTACATCCGTCACTAGTGATTAGTTAGGTCAAACTAACAAAACAGAAAATGGCTTATACGAACAGAATGTCAGACTGAATAATGAAACGAAAGCAAAATAGCAATTGAATCTGATTAGAAGGGTATAGGGCAGTTAGAGAATATACAATAAATTCGCCATGATTACAGCGTTGAGCCGTATAGTCCCTATGGGAAATTTATGGTAACTTTATCAGGATACCAATGGGAAAACTTGTGTTTGAGTGCCACAGACAAGCTATAAATCCCCGGAGCAATATAATACAAATATTAGGGTAATTTTTCGTCAGACGGACTTACATAAACAAACTTAAAAGCGGATGATGAATGATGTCTGTTGAAAAATAGTCTATGCAAAAACACTTGCTGCCCCTGATGAGAGCCAGATGAAGCTCGGTGCGCTCAGTGAAAACTGACCCATCTCCCCTCATCTGGAATGAAGAAACAGCTGCGGAGAAATGGAGTGTATCAAACAAACGATGGAAACGGCAGGAAGTCGTGCGCTGTTTTCGTCAGAGTCCGTGCCAGTGTTGATGATGCTGATACCGGGGAAGGGCAGCTAGAGGAGGACGCCGAAATGAGAAGCAGCAGAGGATCAGGGAGGGGAAGGCCCAACCTTGGAGGGAGGCTTGCGTGAGGAGAGTTCCCAAACTAAAGCAGGCCTATGCAAAGGGGAGGGAGTCGAGGACGAGAAACTGTTTTACATCTTGTCATACACGCTCTGATATGATAATTGTGCACATCTTGATGTAGAGAGAGCCTCACAAGGACAAACTCACAGAAGAATGTAATGAGATTCATGTAAGTCATATATTAAAACACACACACATTCATCCAGGCAGCTCGTGTCTTAGTTTGTTCTCTCTTATCGCAGAATGTTGTGTGTTTGTGCCAAAAGAGCCAGACACAAGAAGGATGGTATACATACAGCTTTTCAGTTACACCTCCGTCAAAACAAAGACAAGCTGGAAAAGCGGTGGACGCACACACGCACATCAGACATAATGCCACCCAGGAAGTCCTACGATAAGGAAAGTACACAAGTCAGCAGGGGAACGTAATAATGTTTAACCTGTGCTGTCCTTACCTAACCTTTATTTGTCTGCCTTTCTGCCGGCATCTGTCAGTCTGTCTGTTATCTGTCCGTCTCAGTCAGTGCATCCATCTGTCTTCCCGCAGCTACCGCACCGTTATAACGTTAAGTGGCCACCAGTCCCACATCTGACAGATGAATAAGAAGATGACTGATAGACGGACCAAATGGCTAAATCAGGATGAAATCAGCGGTGAGGCAGATATAAAAGGAACCTTACCACTGTATATTATTTCATCATGTCCCCGGCTGGGTCTTCATCTGAGCATTTTTATGCAAATGATGATGGATAGACTGAGAAAAGCTGAATGGAAGTGACAAATTTTGATGGAGCCTCCTTAGTTTTCACGCTCGATTTGAGGCTGGGGTGTTTGCTTTATCAGGGAGGAATTTCAGT